AATGTAATAAATAGATTAGGTTAAGAGTAGTTTTGTCATTCTATTTGTTTACTTGTGAGACTATTTAAAGTCTCCCCTTCTTTGTATTTTCAATTAATTTCACACAATGTAGAAACCCTAGCCCCCCTTCGTTTTCCTCTCTCTCTGTCTTTTGTATTGTTAATTGTTAATTTTCACACTATTCATGTTTTTACTTGTGCCTGCAATCTATCTCTGTATCTGTATCTCTCTTTATAATGGGCAATCATAAAATTTGAAATCAAAATTGGCGTTTTAGGTATGAAATTGGCGGAATGGAAATTTGTTTTGATAAAAAAAAGATTAAATTCGTTTTAGTGCAATCAAAATTGGCAGAATGGAAATTTGTTTTGATCAAAGAAGTTTAAATTCGTTTTAGTGCAATCAAAAATTTTGACCTCAAAATTGGCGTTTTCGGTATGAAATTGGCGGAAATTTCTTTTAATCAAAAAAAGTTTAAATTCGTTTTAGTGAAATCAAAATTGGTGTTTTCGGTACGAAATTGGCGGAATGGAAATTCATTTTGATCAAAAAAAGTTTAAATTCGTTTTAGTTGTTTCAAAAAATTCAAGTTTTGGTTCCCAATGATAATTTATTTTTACATCATTCAAATTCTTTATTAATTCCAACAATAATTTAGTTTTACATACTGAAAATTAAATAGGGATAAAATATGAAAGACTTAGGCAAAAATTAATTTTCCAATGACATTAAAAAAGTTTTCTTAATCCGCGTGAAAAANAAAATTTCTTAATTCGTGTGAAAAACGAAACAAGCCTATATAATTGGGACGGAGGGAGTAATTCCTATTTTCAAGCTATAGAGGTGATACGAAAGTTTAAAGATTTTCAGCTTATGTGAAATTAATGTCTACCCATAGATATTTGAGTATAAAACTAATGTTCAATGCACTTTATGGATTGCTAATTAGGTGTCATTTTTTAAAAAATAAAAGTAAATGTTGGAATGAAACATAAATTTAGAAAGAAAATACTAATTTTGTTGAGTTACTTCGTCTAACAAATTTCTGAATTAGATGGAATTCTAGACATTGTATTTATTTATTTTTTTCAACTTGATGGAGTCTTTATCATCTTATATTGAAAAAATATATATTTTTTAAATATCATTTATTTTTATTTATAGGACACAATTTTTTATGCAATCTTGAATCTACAATTGTATTGGAGATGCTATAACGATCTCCTAAAGAACCAAATTCTTTAGTTGCCTTCCTTTTATTATTATTATTATTATTATTATAATAGAAAATATGTGTGTTCAGTAGTCCTTAATGGTTAAATAATACAAGATTTTAAAGGATTAAGAGATGAAAAATTCAGGAGGCTGGGCTGGGGCGAGCTTATGAGAAACATCATTTGATAGTTTTTGACAGCTTCTTGAATCATTATACATAAATACTCAAATCATTAAAAAGGTAACATTCATCCCTCAATTCATCTACTAGCTAGTTCTGTACAAGGAATTATAGTCTCCAAATTCATCCCTACATAAGAGAAAGAGAAACTGTACTAGGATTTTGCCACATTGCTAGAAGAAAATTAACAGATACAGTGATATAATTCGAGGTGAAAACAGATGATTTGATGGAAAAATTAACTGTGTTTAAAACAATTCAACGATGGAATGTCTCGTGGCATTATGTCAATGCATCCGACATTGTACCACGATTCAATGTAGTAATACTGGCTAGCAAAACACCAAGGACACACTTACTACGTTATACTTGACACCATCAAACAAGATAAATGTGCTAGAATGTGTCCGGTTAATCATGTCCTAAGTTTTGCAATCATCTCCTCGACCAACTCGAGTGAGGTTCCACCTCTTTCTCCTCTATCTATCTTCCTCATAACCTTCTCCAACAGCACATTTTTTGATTGTTTACCTTTTGATCCACAATTTGAGCAATCTCTTAAAAGCAGAAGCAATTCTTTGGCCTTTTCTTTACCCCTCCATGTCCCATCAACACTTAACTGAAGAAGCCCAGGCACAACACCTTCTCTCAAAATAATCCCTCTGTATCCATCTCTATAATTCTGGCATATAACTAGAAGAATTCCCACTGCATGTTCTTTGCATTGTGCTGATCCATCCTCCATAGCCTCCACCAGTGCCGGGATCGAGCCTCCGGTTTCTGCAGTCTCCTTCAGAGCAATATCTGATGAAGAAACAATCTCGTCAAGCAAACCCATAATTTTCTCCACCAAATCTGATGATTTTTCTAAGCCATAGACAAGCTGAAGCACGGATGCTGCACAACCCGAACGGGCAATTTGTCCAACAGTTTGTGGGCATGCTGAAAGATTGTGGAGAGTTGATACGAAATCAAGCTTTGCCTGCATACTTATATTTTCACAGTTTAAATTTAGGAGATTAATAAGAAGTTGAATCGCTCCAGATGCTGCAACTTCTAGCTTGTTTTGTGTGCAAGAAGAGAGGATCAAGAGGGCTGCTGCTGCTAGGTCAAGCAATGGTTCGATTTGGCATTGAATAATCTTTAAAATCTCTGGTATTGCACCAGATTTTGCAATGCGAATCTTGTTTCTGAAAAATTAAAGAAAAGAAAAACATATTAACCACACATTTATTAACTTTTATCAAAATTTACTAAAAATCTCTCCTCGAAAAAAGGGATTCATAACATAACGGATTTATTATAGGAAAACTAGTATTCTTATTCTCTGGTAGTGTAACCATAAATCTTCAAGTGCTTTACTTGTTTCCTGATTATTATTGCTTTCGAAGGTAAGGATTACGGTCTAATCCATTAAAAAGACGTGCACACATTAAAGACAACTGGGAAACACGATTTAAACTTTTTTGTAATTAATCATGTTCAAATATTGTCTAGTCAAGAGCGTACTCAACATTAAACTCGTGAAGGAGAGATCTAAAGTAATCAAACCTTTCACTTCCAAAGGCCAGACTAAGCAGAGCAAAGAGTGCAGCTTCAGTGGCTTCATAGTCTTTCTCACAGAGCATCAAAACCAATGGTGAAAAAACTCCCTTTTCAGCCACACCCCGTCTTTGCTTACTACTAAACTTAGCAACCTCCCTCGCTGCCGCAATCCGCCCGTCTCTGCCGCCAAATCGAAGAGCTTCCACCACCTCCTCCTCCATGGAAGAAGCCCTCTATTCCGCTCTTCTCTTATCTGGGTTCTATGAGAATTCTACTAATATATACATATAATATAGAGTTTGCTTGAGAAGTATGTAAGGTTTTTTGCTTTTGGCCTTATGGCCTCTTTCTATTGTTTGAGTTAGAAGCATTCCCTGCTCGATAACTTTCCATAACCGTCCTAAGTGGAAATATACTTTGGAGTGGATATTTCACTTTCCTTGTATAGAAGAAACTGCCTTTAATGATGTGGATTGTGGAGATTCTGTTATTCATGTGTAACTCATACTATTTATGGTACATGTTTGTGTGTGTACATGGGCACGTGCTTTTTATTTATTTTTCTCTATGCAGTCCATCTATTGTAACCATGAAGAAAAAATCCAGTTCTCATTGTTAATACATCACAATATGCTAGTTATCTCATCTGTTTCTTTTCAAGTTTAGTCATGGACTTCCAACATTTGGGTTAGAGGTGTATAGTGGATTGGATCGGGATGAATATATTTGATTTTAAGGTAGCTCGTTTTGGATTATGAGCTTTCGAGTTTTTTACGTAAGCTCTCACTCCATTTTTTTCTCAATAGAGGCATGCTTGCGATCCTTACAACTACAACTACAACTCTAGAAACGCGCTAATTAGCTGCACGATCTCTACTCGAGTCAAGTGACGGTTGAGCATATATATATATATAGATTTCAAGATGACGTGGGCAAAATAGGATTGTGTTCAAACTAACTATTTGACCAACACAAGAAAATAGCAAAAATGTAGCACTGATAGTAATTAACACCAATTTAAGTCGAGTTAATTCAAGATACGTTTTTATTTATTAATAATATAACCGTGACTCCATCGCTATTTAAACTTGTGTTAAGTAGTATTAGAGATAGAAAACGCAATTTTTTCAAGGATATATCTTGAGTACACTTTTCATTATTTATAGTGATCTTGTTACATTATTTTGGTAGGGTAAAACTTGTTTAGTGACTCTTGGCAGGGGCGGATCCAGCGCTCAGCGAGCCCGGGCGGCCGCCCGTGCTAGATCCGCCAGGAACAAATTTTTTTATTTACAATGAATAAATTGTTTAGAATATATAACTGGTAATTCATTTTCCTTTTAAATATTTCTTGTAACTTAGGTGGTTAGAACTTGTATTTTTATATGGAAAGTCCCGGGTTCGAGTCCCTTCTCAATCCATTTGTTGTGAAATATTTTTAGCTCTATAATTTTTACTAAAATCAATGGATTAAGGAGGGATGAGGGGATTCGAACCTTAGAGCTTCCCTTCAAATTATTGAAGTTTTACCATTGTGGCACTTAATGAATTTGGCTTTATATTTAGGGTAATTGGCGCAAAACGTCCCTACCTTTGACGAGTTTTGTGCAAAACGTCCATACGTTTCGTTTCTTGGCGCAGAACGTCTCTACTTTTCACATTTTTGGCGCAAAACCTCATTTTCCCAATTTTTTTACCATTTTACCCTTCCATTAAAATAAAACAAAAAAAAAAGAAAAGAAAAATACACAATAAATTGCAATTATGGGTCCAAAATTTTAAAAATGTGCAAATCGGTCACAAACATGAAAAAATCATCACCCCTTCAGCCACCACCATTGAAGGCAAGTTCCTCAACCTTTGATCACCTTGGCCGCCGGACCAACATATGACCTTGAAGCCCTCGTTGCCCTCTTCACAACCCTCCCAACCACCAGCCCCAACTTCGGCAGATTTGGTCGAAAATCAAATTGAAAAATTACAACATAAGCAACCCGCGAGTTCACACAAGTGAACAATTCAGATGAAAATTGAACATGTTCTGGGCGTAATTGGGTTTGACCCATTAGTGGGTCAACTGCTCCTGATGAAGACGAGCCCAACCCAGGTGGTCCGCGACCCTAGGTTGGCCGGACGGCTCCAGAATCAAAGTTCTTCAGAGCGTAGAGAAGAGCTCACGACTAGCGCTGTTTCATAAATTAATTCAGTTTGATGGTGTGTTGTTTGGAGTGAATTGGGGCCATATTTTGTATCTCCTGGACCTGGGCAGATAGTTCGTAGTGGTCCGCGACCATGACGGTGGCTAGAGGAGAGATTTCTGGCTGGTTGCAGAATTTTGATTTGCTGGTTTTGATATATGATTTCGGGCGTATAAGTGGATGAAATGGAGAGTTCTTGGGTGGAAATTGTAGAGGATGTTGAGGAGATTAAGTTGGTAGTGATATCCGGCGGTATTGGTGGCCGGAATGAGGTGGGTCCATAACCGGTGACTAGGAGATTAAGAGAGTTTTTTTTTTTTAGGAGTAAGATTGCAATTTATTCTATATATATATTTTTTTAATTTTAATAGAAGGGTAAAGCGGTTAAAAGTTGGGGAAAATGACATTTTACGCCAAAAATGTGAAAGGTATGGACATTTTGTGCCAAGAAACGAAACTTAGGGATATTTTGCACAAAATCCGTCAAAGGTAGGGACGTTTTGCGCCAATTATCCTTATATTTACTAGAATAATATATATTACATTTTAGCGGTTTTAATGCAATTGTAAAAATTGAAATCCATGTTCTTCCTTTGAATTATACAAAATTTAGTCACAAATATATATATATATAGTTTGAACAAAATAATTGTAATATTTAAATTTTAGACCTTGTTTGATTCTCATTTTTTTCGAAATGCATTTTTCCCTCTTCTTTTTAACTACACATTTTTCAATAAAATAATATTACATACAAATTCAAATTTTTTCCTTATTTTTAACCACACATTATCTATCAAATCACTATTCCAAAATACTTTTTTTTTGGCAAAAATGGACATCAAACGGGACTCTTAGTATTTTATTGCTGCCAACGGTCGACGGCCGTTCGTGCTGGCTCAAAATCCTGAATCCGCCACTGACTCTTGGAGTTGTATTAAGATGGCTTATGTCCATGGGTGAATGTAAGGAGAACTAGATCGGACTTTTTTATGTAATTTTTTTTTAAAATATTACTTCGACATGAATTTTTTTTTTAATCGGGTCGAGAACCTGCCCCTGCTTATATTGGACCTGCAAATCCTATGATCCAAAACTTTTGAGTCCATTGTGAGACAGGCTCAGATTACAATGTGCTTCGAAAATATAAAAGTGTGAAAAAATGAAAAAGAGCATTGCGGTATTCGAGGATATATGCGGCTGCCCAACATTTTTAAGAGATACTGCTTAAAATCTATCCCACAATTCACAATTCCCATTGGGAGTTGCTTTTTTGCTTTACAATCTGACTAAAAGCGGTTACATAGTGTCAGCGCTTTGAATGCTGCATTCCTATTGCAAAATACCATTCAATGCGTACAGGTTTTGGGTTTAGAATCTGAGATAGATATTTAAGTAAAAGGAAATTTGCAGTAAAAGTCCCAAATATTTTAAAAATATGCTATCAGATCCTAAATCTTTTAACTTTAGTACCTATATCCCAATGTATTAATAAACCCCTAATCATTATTTGAAAACTTTTTTTTTCATATTCATTTTCAATCATACGTTTACACAATAAAATATTCTATATGTAAATTTAAATTTTTTATCAACTTTTTAACCACACATTCTTAAAAAAATCATATTTAAAATATTATTTTTAAGAATAATGACCATCAAACTCTCTATGCAGTCCATCTATTGTAACAATGAAGAAAAAATTTAGTTCTCATAGCTAATTAACACCAATTTAAGTCGAGTTAATTCAAGATACGCTTTTATTTATTAATAATATAACTGTGACTCCATCGCTATTTAAACTTGTGTTAAGTAGTATTAGAGATAGAAAACGCAATTTTTTTTAAGGATATATCTTGAGTACACTTTTCATTATTTATAGTGATCTTGTTACATTATTTTGGTAGGGTAAAACTTGTTTAGTGACTCATGGCAGGGGCGGATCCAGCATTCAGCGAGCCTGGGTGGCCGCTCGTGCTGGATCCGCCGGGAACAGTTTTTTTTTATTTACAATGAATAAATTGTTTAGGATATATTACTGCTAATTCATTTTCCTTTCAAATATTTCTTGTAACTTAGGTGGTTAGAACTTGTATTTTTATATGGAAAGTCCCGGGTTCGAGTCCCTTCTCAATCCATTTGTTGTGAAATATTTTTAGTTCTATATTTTTTACTAAAATCAATGGAATATGGAGGGATGAGGGGATTCGAACCTTAGAGCTTCCCTTCAAATTATTGAAGTTTTACCATTGTGGCACTTAATGAATTTGGCTTTATATTTAGGGTAATTGGCGCAAAACGTCTCTAACTTTGACGGGTTTTGTGCAAAACGTCCATACGTTTCATTTCTTGGCGCAGAACATCTCCGCCTTTCACATTTTTGGCGCAAAACCTCATTTTCCCCATTTTTTGACCATTTTACCCTTATATTAAAATAAAACAAGAAAAAACAAAAGAAAAATACACAATAAATTGCCTTATGGGTCCAAAATTTTAAAAATGTGCAAATCGGTCACAAACATGAAAAAATCATCACCCCCTAAACAACCACCTTTGAAGGCAAATTCCTCAACCTTCGGTCACCTTGGCCGCCGGACCAGCATATGACCTTGAAGCCCTCGTTGCCCTCTTCATAACCCACCCAACCACCAGCCCCAACTTCGGCAGATTTGGCCGAAAATCAAATTCAAAAATTACAACACAAGCAACCCACGACAATTCAGATGAAAATTGAACATGTTCTAGGCGTAATTGGGTCTGACCCATTAGTGGGTCAGCTGCTCCTAATGAAGATGAACCCAACCCAGGTGGTCCGCGACCCTGGGTTGGCCGGACGGCTCCAGAATCAGAGTTCTTCGGAGCATAGAGAAGAGCTCACGACTAGCGCTGTTTCATGAATTAATTCAGTTTGATGGCGTGTTGTTTGGAGTGAATTGGGGCCATATTCTGTGTCTCCTGGACGTGGGCAGATAGTTCGTGGTGGTCCGCGACCATGAGGTAGCCAGAGAAGAGATTTCTGGCTG